TATGATTAAATAGTTAATTAGAAGGAAAAATGAAGAATAAAAGTGAAATAATAAGATAGATTAATTAATAATAAAAGCAAAAATAGAAAATAAAATGATGAGTTAAATTAACAAAGAAAGAACAAAAAAAAGCAAGCACAATAAAAAGAAAAATAAAAAAGAGCTTTATTGTTTTAAATTAGTTTTTATAATTAAAATATCACAATCCAAAACAAATAAACTGTTTTACTAAAGGTCAAGTGTCAAATTTGAGAGATTAATGCACTTTCCTAAACCAGAATCTAAGCCTGATGCACCTTTGTCACCAATTTAATTAGCACTTTTTAAATATTGAAGAAAAAATATATCATTAAAAAGTTAATTAGAAGGAAAAATTAAAAAATAAATATGAAATAATAAGATTAATTAATTAAAAATAAAAGTAAAATTTGAAAATAAATTGATGAATAAGTTAAATTAACAAAAAAAGAACAAATAAAAGCAAGCACAATAAAAAGAAAAATAAAAAAGAGCTTTATTGTTTTAAATTAATTTTTATAATTAAAAAATCACAATCCAAAACAAATAAACTGTTTTTACTCAAGATAAAGTGTCAAATTTGAGAGATTAATGCCCTTTCCTAAACCAGAACCTAAGCCTGATGCACCTTCGTCACCAATTTTATTCCTACTTTTTAAATATTGAAGAAAAAATATATGATTAAATAGTTAATTAGAAGGAAAAATGAAGAATAAAAGTGAAATAATAAGTTAGATTAATTAATAATAAAAGCAAAAATAGAAAATAAAATGATTAGTTAAATTAACAAAGAAAGAACAAAAAAAAGCAAGCACATTAAAAAGAAAAATAAAAAAGAGCTTTATTGTTTTAAATTAGTTTTTATAATTAAAAAATCACAATCCAAAACAAATAAACTGTTTTTACACAAGGTTAAGTGTCATATTTGAGAGATTAATGCACTTTGCTAAACCAGAACCTAAGCCTGATGCACCCTTTGCACCAATTTTATTAGAACTTTTTAAATATTGAAGAAAAAATGTATGATTAAATAGTTAATTAGAAGGAAAAATGAAGAATAAGAATGAAATAATAAGATAGATTAATTAATAATAAAAGCAAAAATAGAAAATAAAATGATTAGTTAAATTAACAAAGAAAGAACAAAAAAAAGCAAGAACAATAAAAACAAAAATAAAAAAGAGCTTTCTTGTTTTAAATTAGTTTTTATAATTAAAATATCACAATCCAAAACAAATAAACTGTTTTTACTTAAGTTTAAGTGTCAAATTTGAGAGATTAATGCACTTTCCTAAACCAGAACCTAAGCCTGATGCACCCTTTGCACCAATTTCATTACAACTTTTTAAATATTGAAGAAAAAATGTATGATTAAATAGTTAATTAGAAGGAAAAATGAAGAATAAAAGTGAAATAATAAGATAGATTAATTAATAATAAAAGCAAAAGTTGAAAATAAAATGATGAGTTAAATTAACAAAGAAAGATCAAAAAAAAGCAAGCACATTAAAAAGAAAAATAAAAAAGAGCTTTATTGTTTTAAATTAGTTTTTATAATTAAAAAATCACAATCCAAAACAAATAAACTGTTTTTACACAAGGTCGAGTGTCAAATTTGAGAGATTAATGCACTTTGCTAAACCAGAACCTAAGCCTGATGCACCTTTGTCACCAATTGCATTATCACTTTTTAAATATTGAAGAAAAAATATATGATTAAATAGTTAATTAGAAGGAAAAATGAAGAATAAGTATGAAATAATAAGATAGATTAATTAATAATAAAAGCAAAAATAGAAAATAAAATGATGAGTTAAATTAACAAAGAAAGAACAAAAAAAAGCAAGCACAATAAAAAGAAAAAGAAAAAAGAGCTTTATTGTTTTAAATTAGTTTTTATAATTAAAATATCACAATCCAAAACAAATAAACTGTTTTTACTAAAGGTCAAGTGTCAAATTTGAGAGATTAATGCACTTTGCTAGACCATGACCTAAGCCTGATGCTACTCTGTCACCAAAAAAATTGGAACTTTTTAAATATTGAAAAAAAAATATATCATTAAATATAGAGAAAATTGCCATTCAAATTTACAAAAAGTAAATATATATACCGTGTTTAGAATTAATCTAGAACTGATAAATATATGTCCTTAAATTCAGCTCAGATTTTTTGTAAAATTTTTCAAAATTTATTTTTTTCAAAAAAAATGATATGTTTATAAGAATATACGGTATAAATTATTTCAAATTTTACATTTTGTTAATTTAAAGCTTTCTAAAAACTCAAAAATAAAGCTGTTAAAAGCTAATTTAGATTTATTTATTATGTTATTAAGGTATTTTACATTTTGCCATTTGTAAATTAAATAGGCATTTCACTCTAGTTAATTAGAAGAAAAAAATGAAGAAAAAATATGAAAGAATAATATTAATTAAAAATTAATTAAATGTACAAAGAATGAAAAAAAAAGAAATCACAATAAAAAGAAAAAGGTAAATAAATCAAATAAATTGAAAGAGCTTTAATGTTTTAAATTAACTTTTATAATTAAAAATATTACAATTCAAAACTAATGAACTGCTTTTATTTAGTGTAAGTTTTAATAGCAAAAATGAAGAAAAAATATCAAATTATAAAAAATGAATAATAAATAATTAAAAGTTGAATTAAAATTTAAGTTAAAATACCTAAAAAAATTTTGTTTTAATAAAAATCAATGAATAATGATGATAATTTCTAAAAAAAAAATTATTTATTTAAATAAATTGAAAGTTAAATATATACAAAATATTAATAATAATAAAAATAATATTTATAAATAAAATATACTTGATATCAATATGGAGAACCTAATGAGATAAAAGTGAAGAGCTTAAAAACTTTTTGTATTAATTTATTTAAATTTAAAGGATATTAATAAAAAAATTAATAATTACTTCTTCTAATCTATTATATTTTTTAATCTATTACATCATTTATTTTTTTTCTCAAAAATATTGAATAGCAATTTATGGAATTTAATTAATTATTAATTAATAAAAAGTACAAATAAAATATAATAATTAATTATTAAATATCAGAAATATCACATAAAAATTAAGTTAACATTCATTATTTAATCTTAATATTTGTATTTAAAACATATACTAAATATATATATAGTAGGAATTAGAGATAGCCAGTTAGCCATATTTGAAAAAATTCTAGTAATTAATAACTTGCGGTAGCGCTACCACAAGAATTTTAATCCTGGAAGCGCTATATATATATTCTATATTTAATACATTTTTAAAGTAAAATAAATACAAAATATTAAATATTTAAATATCAAAAAGTAAATAAATAAAGTCTTTACTTTTTAATCAAATTACTCTATAATGTTTGAATAATAGCAAATAATTTACACTTTTAATTAATTTAATATGAATGAATAGATTTATCTATTTCATCTTAAAGTATTGAATTATTTTTTTTTAAATAATTTTTGGATGGTTAATTTTTTATTTATTATTAGTTAAACAGAAGACAATTACTAATTATTAGTTTTTTATGAAATAAATTTTGAAGGTCATATTTTAAATAATGATAGAAATTTTTATCATTTTATTATTCAGTTTAAATTTATTATTTTAAACTTAATTTGAGATATTATTAATGACTATTTTAATTTTATTCTTAAATATAATTTGACCTTCACTCTTACTATCTCTAAAATAAATAGATTAAATATTTTAATTTTATTATTTACTCTTAAAATTGTTGTTAGTAGCTTTGCAAAATAATTTAAAAGTAGTTTAAAATTTTATTTTAGATGAGTTGATTATTATTTTTTTCATTATTATTTTTAGTGGAGTATCCTCATTTATATTAAGTTTGCCTCAGAGTGTTGGTTGTATTGAGTTTGGTGATTTAAATTTTATTACCTTTATATTTAAATTTCTTCTTTTGTTTGAGAAAATATTTCATTATTTGGCTCATTTTGAGAAACTGGTAAAGATTCTTTTTACAAAACTGTTGTGGGTATTCTTATATTTGATTTTCTTTTAATTTTATGCAAGATTGTTAGAACAAAAAATACAAAAGCTATCACTGATTAGAAAAAGAAAAGACAGATTACAATGATTGCCATAAGTAAAGAAATTTACTATGACCGATCTTACTGATAAGTAGAACTGATCATAATAAGGTAAAACATATGTAGCATAGAAACCACTGAATTGATAAATATGCAGAAGTAGTTAAACTTAGAGTTGATAAACGGTTTCGAAATTATAAAATAAATTAGATATCCTATATAAACTGTTAATAGCAAACATATTTATTCTAAACTGCTTGATGATATAAGAGCTGTTATCATCGATACAATTATCTTTTTTATAACACTGAATTAAATAAAATTTCTGCATCCAAATGTATCTTGTCTAATCATTTTGATAATAATAAAATAAGTATTCTAGTTTTTATTAATTTTGATATCTGATTTATTAATATCTTAATTAGTTGCTTAATATTAATTGTCTAAATCTACCATATTTTGTATTGTAGCAAATTAACAGGGCTCTTCTTATTTACTTTCTATGCTAATAGTTTTAGTTAAATTTTGAATATTCAAATCATCTTTTTAGCTTTCGCTTTTTTATTTAATCGATTCGTTCTTTGTAAATTAAATATCACTTTTAAAGATCTAATCATTTATTTATTCAGATAATTTCTCAGTTTTAAACATTTAAAATTCGACATTACTAAATATTTTTTATTTTTTATTATTTTGAGATTGTTCTTATAATGGCTAATTTTCGTTTTAACTAAAGATGGAATCGCTTTTTTTTAATTGATTTTGGTTTTTGGTTTCAAGATTTTCATTTTTTTCTGTCGAAATTTCATTATTAGCAAATATATTTTCCTTCTTATCTTAATAAATTTCTTTTCTAGCATCAAAAAATTCATTTTTTGCTTGAGGACTATTTTCCAAATTTGCAGGTTAAGAGGTATTTTTGTTTTAGTTGTTGCAATCATTTTTAATAGTTATTTCAGCTAAGCTTTGCTAATATTTTTGATCATTTTAAAGGACTTTCAAATACTCTAACTTATAGAATAAAAAAGAGACAAACGAGATGAGATAAATTAATGTAAATATACAGAGAATTGAGTCTGTAACATCTTATTTGTTACTATATATAAAAGATTAAAATTGATTAAAAACCAATAAAGCTAAATCTTATGAAGTAAAGTATAAAACTAACAATGGTAGAGAAATGCAAAATATTCTTTTTATTTTAATAATTCCCTTGTATTAATCCTTAACCTTAAAATACGAAAAAAGACAAGCTAAAACCAAAGCAGAAGCATTCAAAGTGATTAGAATCACTGAACTCAAATATGTGAAGCTCTACTCTAAAAAAATAATTAGCTTAGGATTCATTTTAACTTTTTTATTTGCTATTGAATCAGTACTATTATTGTAAACAGTATTTACTCTTTTATTCAAATTATTTTTTTAATTGCTTTCTAAAATTCTAAGATTATAGTAGCCACTATTATTTTCACTGAAGTATGAAAAATCAAATAGATTAGTAATTTAGTTATAAGATAATAAATTCATCATTTAGTCAAACCCTAATGCTGGTATATCATTTATGAAACTCATATAGCTTAAACTCTGATTTAATTCTACCAAACCAAATAAAATCACAGGATTTAAGTCAGAAATGCCTATAACAATAAAAAATTTTATTTTATAATATATATATATATATATATATATTGTAATATTTTATTATTTATCATATAAATTGGAATTGAAAAATTATATTTTAATAGCTAAAAAATTTAAAACTTTTTAAATTTCTAATTTTTTTGAAAGCTTTGATATAAAAATATGAATTGTGTTGTATTTTAAAAAATAAAATTACTTAATAAAGTGGTCAAAGAATAAACTACTAGTGCAGATATTCCAAATGCATGTTAAAGATTTTATTAAATTTGGCTATGCTAACATTTTGATTAATTATTCTCACTATAGCCTTCTCTACATTCGCATAAATGGATTTAAGAAGATGGCTCAAGAGGTACTAATTTTCTTGTTTCATTGCATTAAAGGCATTCAGAATAAGAATTCCCTGTGCAAAGCTAACATGAATAGTGGCATTCTATTTTTTGGCATTACATATTTTAGTCTAAAAAATATCCAGATAGACATTATGAACAACTACTTAGACTTGAACAAATTTAACAATTTTGTACACAATTTAAACAAGTATTATAATTTTAGCTAGGAAATTAGCCATTAGGACATCTTTAGCATGAGTTTTATATTAATATTTTTGATGAGTCACAACTCAAGCAATCAAGTTTGCTATTAGGCTTTCTACATGTTAAGCATGAATAATGGCAATCCATTTAACATACGCCCTAAATTTGTAAATATCCTTCTTGGCAAACTAAACAGGTGTGAAAATTACTGCAAATAGCACAGTTTTAATTACATTTGACACATCTTCCTATTTAATTACCATCTAAAAAGTAGCCTTCGAAGCATGATGTACATTTATCTTCTTAAGGAGACTAATTCTAGCATGTATTACAAGAACTATGACAATTAAAATAACACTTATTTTTTTTTAATTTGTAATTTGCAATACAAGAAGTGCATTAAATTTAGCTTTAGATGCATGCTTAACAGGGAGATTCACATTTTTCACATAAATTTCCTAATTTAACAAATCCTTCTTTGCATTTTATACAAGCTTATCTATCATTATCTTTGGAGCAAGTAAAGCAAGTTTCATCGCAATTCATTTTTATGCATATACCATTCAATGGAATTGAATAGTATGTTTCTAAACAGCTTATACAATTTGAGGGATTATCTACACAACTAGAACATGGACTCTCGCAGATTTAGCATTTATTTTAACTGTTTAAAAAATAACCAAAAGCACATTCTATACATTAAGAAGGATCTTATGGTTGGTAGCAGCTTTTACATGAAATATCACAAATTGGAGTGCATTATTTTAAAACATTTTCTAATTTGTAATTATTAAAACAGCTTAAGCATTCTTGTGGGGAAATTTAACATGTTTGGCAAGGAAAATCACAATTTTTACATGAATTGTTGATTAAATAAAAGCCATCTGGACAAGATGTGCATGCATTAGAATTCTATGGAGAAAAACAAGTTTTACAGGATTTATCACAATTTAAAACACACTCTAGAGTACTTTGATTTAAAATATATCCATCAATACAACTCTTACACTAAATAGCAACTTTTTAGCAATTTTAGCATGGGCTTTGACATTATAAACATTAATTAATGTTATTTAAGTAATATCCATCATAGCAGCTTGAGCAAGATGTGTCTGAATAAGGATGCAGACAAGTCTTGCAATTTTGATGACATAAGGATTTACACGTGTTTGTTTATGGATTTAAGGTATAATTTTATAAACAAGAAGTGCAATTAGTAGTTGTTTTAGCACAAGTGGCACAAGGAGGCTAACATGGAAGACATTAGTTATTTATAAGTACACGCTAATCGTTGCATGAACTACAAGAGGTACTTTTTAATGGCTATGTACAAGTAGCACAAGAACTATCACATATTATCATGCAAATTTTGAATTAACTGTCAAATTTATAAGTTTCTATACAAGAGAGGCATTTGTTTGCATTAATACTGCAAGTAAGGCAAGGAGGAGAACAAGGGAGACATTGATTAAAAGCACTAAGATAATATCCATCTTTGCATTTAGTGCAAGAGAAATTATTATTAGGAGTAATGCAAGCAGAACAAGTTGGAAAACACTATGGAAAACAAGTTCTTGTTATTTAATCATATACATAATTAGTTATGCATGATAAACAATTAGTAGATTAATCTGCGCATGTTGCACAAGGAGACTCACATTTAATGCACATATTTCCGATTTAATAATAACCTGTTTTGCAAGTTAAACAAGAATTAGGACTTTCTGGTAAACAAGTTTTGCAAGAAGGATTACAAATGAATTAACAAGAATTATAAATTGATGAGTAAACATATCCTTCAGCACAAGTTAAGCATTTATTTCCTGTTGTATCACAAGTAGCACAAGAACTTGAACATGGAATACATCTATTTTTAGCTAAAAAATATCCATCGTTGCATTCTAAGCAGGCATTTTGTTTCTTAGGAAAAGAGCATGTCTTGCAAGAACTGTGGCAAATAGGATTACAAGTTTAGTTTTATTCATCATAAGTATAATTTTCTTAACAGCTAAAGCAGCTAGTCACATTCAAGCAGTTCTAGCATGGAAATTAACATTGTTTACATACTCCTTCGCTCAGATAGTAGCCATCTATGCATTCTTAGCAAATTGTCTTGCTAGATGAATCAAAACAAGAAGTACATTCAGTTGGACAAGTAAGGTTACAAGTATTACTTGATGGGTCTAAGCTATGCCATTGCACACAAGAGAGACAATTAGATGGAGAACCTTCACAAGATTAGCATGGGAAACTGCAAGATAGACAAGAGTTTTAATAAAGATAATAGCCTTCTATACAGGACATGCATTAACGGAAATCATTAGGGGCTGTGCAAGTTTAGCAAGATATATCGCAAACTGGAGAACAATAACTTCTTTAAGAGTCTGAAACAAGTTTATAATATTTAATACAAGTTAAGCAATTTTGAGCATCATTTTCGCAAGTAGAACAAGGGCTTTAGCAAGGTAAGCATTATCCATTTGTGAGATAATATCCATCAATGCAGGAAATGCATGATGATTAATTGTTTAGGTTATTGCATTCCTTGCAACCTATAGGACATAAGAGATAACAAGAATTTGTTGCAGAATTCAATCCATAATATTAAATGCAAGAAGTACAATAGGTGTCATTAAATTAACAACTCTTACAGGGTTATGTGCACTGCAAACATTATCCTGATTTCAAATAAAAACCATCAAAGCAACTTAAACAGGAGTTAAGATCATATGGAAGCGAGCAAGTGGAACATGATATATCACATTAAGGAATGCATAAATTATTTTAAGCATTTAATTAATAATTTTAAATACATTTTGTGCAGTTTGTTGCTTAATTTTAACAGTTTAAGCAAGGCTATTGACAATTTTAGCAGTTCTTATTTTAGTCTAAAAAATATCCATCCTGGCATTAAATGCATATGAAAAAATTTGAATTTTCAGAGGAAGTGTTGCTTTGTATATTATTTGGAGTACAGTTCTAACAATTCTAAGGGCAATTTGGTAAACACTAATTGGAGGAATCATTGTAAATGTAGTTATCGATGCATGAAAGACAGTTCAGGTTTGTATTGATACAGGTTAAACAAGGAGGAGAACATTATAAGCACTCATCATTAAATAAATAATATTAGTCAAAGCAAGATAAGCAAGAGTTTTTATTTAAAGGTTTTACACATGTCTTGCAAAGAGGGTCACATATAGGCGAACAAGTATTACTTTAGTTGTCAGCAAGATAATTCTTTGCACATTAAATACAGTTTGTTGATGTAATTTAGCATTTAGCGCATGAAGAGTCACAAGGAATACATTGATTACTATTTAGAAAGTAGCCATCAAAGCATGATAAACATGCAAGATTATTGTTAGGTAAACTACAAGTTTAGCAAGTTACATCACATATTGGAGAGCAACTATTAGAATTAGTGTTAAAAATATAATTTGTTATGCATGAAAGACAGTTATTTGGAGAATATTAGCAATTTTAGCAAGGTTATTAGCAAGGAAAACAGTAATTATTATCAAAATAGTATCCATCTTAACATGTTAAACATGCAGAGCTTAAATTTGGTAAAGTGCAAGTTTTACATTTTGGGTCGCAATTAGGGAGACATAATCCATTACTAAATGTGTAATTAGAATCGCAAGATAAACAATTATTACTACTAAATTAGCATGTTAAACAGGGAGAAGAACATTTTAAACAGCTCTAATTATTTAAATAAAATCCATCAATGCATACTAAACATTGAATTTAATTATCTTTATTAAATTAGCATTGTTAGCATAAATCAGGACATATTAAATTGCATTAATTTGTTTATTAATTATAAGAATAATCCTTCAAACAAGATAGGCAATTACTTTGATCAATACAATTTTAACAAGGTGATTAGCATGGAACACACGAATAATTATTTAAATAATAGCCATCAAAGCAGGATGAGCATTAATTATTCATTAGAGGTAGTGTACATGTTTTACATGTTTATGCACAAATAGGTAAACACACTTCCTCAACTTCATCAAATATATAATTATCTGAACATTATGTGCAATTATTAGCTGTGATTTAACAGCTAGAACATTCAGAGTCGCAGGGAAGGCACTATTTATTACTTAAGTAGAAACCATTATAACAGGATAAACACGAAGAACTATCTAGTGGATAACTGCATGTATAGCAAGATTAATCACAAACTGGTGAGCAATCAAATGTTGATTAATTAAATGTGTAGTTATCAATACATGATAAGCAAGTTTATGATGAATTTTAACAACTCTTGCATGGCAATTAACATGAAAGGCATTCATTATTTAATAAATAGTCACCATCGAAACATGTTAAGCACGATTGGCTATTGTACGGAGAATAACATGATTTGCATGAGGGATCACATATAGGACTACATAAATTTAAAGAAGGACTATAGGTGTAATTTTCAATGCAAGACAAGCAGTTTGTTTATTTCCCTTGGCAAGTTTTGCAAGGAGTTTAGCAAGCAAGACATTAATATTAACTTACATAAAACCCATCTTAGCATGATAAGCACTAAATTACTTTTAAATCACTCATTTAGCAAGAAGTGCAAAGAATAGGACAAATTAGAGAGCATGAATTTGTATCAGAGTTGAAGATATAGCTACTTTAACAGGATAAACATGTACTTAAATTAGAACAACTTAAACAAGGAGGCTAGCAAGGAATGCACTGGTTATTTAGTAGGAAATTACCATCGAAACAAGATAAACAAGCATTTTTATTATATGGTAAGCTGCATGATTAACAAGTTTAATCACAAATTGGATCACAGTAGTTTGTAAGTGGGTTATAATTATATCCTATTTCACAGGATAAGCAATTTTTTTGGGAATTTTAACAAGTTTAGCATGGAGGAATGCAGGGTAAGCACTGATTATTGCTAAAAAAAAATCCCTCATAGCAAGATAAGCATGAGGAACTGTTTAGAGGCAGTAAACAGGACTTACAAGTTTGATCACAAATTGGCTAACATTAATTGTTTAGAGTATCTAAAATGTAATTTACAGAACAAGACTAGCAATTATTAGATTAATTTTGACAAGTTAAACAAGGAAACTAGCACTATATACATTAGTCATTAGTTAAATAGAATCCATCATCGCAAGATAAGCAAGATTAATTATTATTTGGAGAGCTGCATGTTTTACAAGAAGGATCGCAATTAGGACTACAGTAATTTTATGATTAAATAAAAGTATAATTTTCAATACAAGATAAACAATTAGAGGAAGAATCTATGCACGATGCACAAGGAGATTAACAATTCAAGCATTAATTATTAAATAAAAAAAATCCGTCAATACAACTCAGACAAGCTGAGCTGTTTTTAGGTTGATTGCAGGTCAAGCATGGCGGGTCACATATTGGGAAACACAAACTTTAAGTAACGTTTAAAGTATAATTTTATATGCATGATTAACAAGTATTTGCACTTATGACACAATTTTAACAAGGTGGCTAACAAATCTAACATTCATTATTATTATTTAAGAAAAATCCATCATAACATGATAAACAAGAAGAGCTACTTAAAGGCAAGCTACAAGTTTTACAAGAATTATAACAAATTGGAGAGCAACTATTAGTTTATTATTAGTATATATAATCCTTTTAGCATGTCAAGCAATTGCTAGAGGATGTTAAACAGGTAGCACAAGGATATTAACATGCAAAACATTAATTATTACTCAGATAAAACCCATCAAAACAAGATAAGCACGATTAGCTATTCAAAGGAAGACTGCATAAATTACAAGAAGAATCACATATTGGTTAGCAGGTGTTCTAAGTAGCATTAAATGTATAATCTTAGATGCAAGAAAGACAGTTTGAGCCTTTTTAATTGCAATTTTAGCATGGAGAAATACATTTTTAACACTAATTATTATTATCTAAAAAAGATCCATCAAAGCAAGATAAGCAAGATTAAGTGTCTTTGGGGTTGCTACAGGTTTTGCAAGAAGAATCACAAATAGGAGAGCACGAATTATTTGATTCAACAAAAACGTAATTATCTATGCAAGATAGGCAAGTAGATGCAGTAATTTTGCATGAAGAACAAGGGGAAATGCATTATTAGCAACTGCTAGAGCTATCAATATAGTATCCAGGGTTGCACTAAATACAATAAATTTGGCCATTATCATAATTGCAGCTGGAGCAGTTATTTTAACATTTTAATTGGCAAGTATTATTGCTTGAGTTTAAAACATAGGAATTTTAATCTTAACAACTTGTACAAGAATAGGCCGATCCTGTGCAAGTTTAGCATGGTAATTGACATTTTTAGCAGTTTTTATTTTCATCTAAATAATATTGATCATTACAAGAAATGCAAACTGTATTGTTATTTTATAAATTACAGGTTTAGCATCCTGATGGACATTATGGAATAATGCATTTATTATTTTCATCAAGCTAATATCCATTTGGACATAAAGTACAAAAATTACTTGAATTTTGGCAGGATAAGCAAGGTTAATCACAGGAAAGGCATTAATTTTAAGCACTTAAATATGATCCTTAATGGCAACTAATACAACCATTTGGATCATTTGGTGTAGAGCATTATTCGCAGGATTTGTCGCAAATTAATTAGCATGACATAATGGATTAATTATAAACATAACTAATGTTATCAATGCATGAAAGACACTATGAACTACTCTAACAAGTTAAACAAGGGGATTGGCATTATGAACAATCTTTTCCATTAAAATAATACCCTGAATCACATTGATTAATTTAAGCTTTTAAGTAATCAGAATGAAGAAAAAAAAGCAAAAATAATGACAAAACCATATTTTGTATGCAATCAAAAAGTTATATGAAAACAAACAAAACAATAAAAATTTGACAATTATTTATTTAATTGTAATTGAATTGATTTTTCTTTAATCTATATAAAAATAAATAGAATTTACTTATTTAAAAATCTTATCCCATTAAAAAAATAAGCATCTATAAATGATTATGTTGTTAATATATTAATTATACTAGAACTTTTTATACATTTTTTTTGAAATTGAAATTAAGTTTGTCAAATTTGCAAAATTAATATCAAATATATAAACTACATATTCAATAACCTTAGAACAAAGAAGATATATAAAAATAAAGATTTTATTATAATTGCTATCTATCTACTAAAAAAAATTATTTTAGTGAAACCTAATTTTATTTTTTTTAAGTGTTAATTGATTTTACTAATTTTTATTTAACTTAATAATTAATTGATATTTATTTTATTAAGAAAATTTAAATTAAAATAAATATTGAAAGAGTGCAAAAATGAATAGTAGCGAATATTTTTGCACTATCAATTTTATATTTGAGAAAATATTTGCACATTATGTTTTTTACAACTATTTTCAAAGAGTAATTTTAAATATTAGAAAATAATATTTTAAATTCTTCAAATTTAATATCGATCTTATATCTTACTTTGGTTAAATTTTAAATTTGCATTAAATAATCATTTCATTGAAAAATAAAATTTCTTCATTTGATTTATGGCTTCAAAATTGATGTAATTTACATCTTCATTCAAATATTTAATTTTTTTTGAAAATTAAATGTAAATTAAAAATGATTTAAAGTATATATGGTAATTTAAACTATGTTTATTATAAAAAAATCTAAAATAAATAAAAATATTTTACAAATACTATAATATTATAAAATAACTTGAAAATTTGTACAATTAGGATAGTTAGAATGGTGTTTTGTACGTATATTAAAATCAAATTTAATAATTTTTTTATTGTATACCCTATTTATTTTTATAAATGAAAGAAGGGAAAATATTAATAAAATAAAGATTTAGGAAACCAATTAGAATAAAGAGAAACACTAAAAAATAATTAATAATATTCAAAAAGGATTTTTTTATTAAACTTCAATTTATCTTCTTATTTAATTAGCGAGTTAGTCAAAGTAGAAATAAATTTATTTTTATTTTTTCAAAATGAGTAGCAAAACTTTTGAAATACTGCATGAAAAAAAAAGATTGAAGATCACCAATTAAGTATTAGGTTAAGGAAGTTTTGGTACAGTTGTTTTTGCAGAACATATTGAAAATAAAACATAGTTTGCAATTAAAATAATAAAAATTGATGGCGTGCTTGATTAAGTTTCAGAGTAATTATTATAGGAAGCTAAAGCGGAAGCAGATTTTTTAAAGAAATAAACTCACCCTAACATAGTCAAGTATGAAGACTCGTTCCAAATAGGACTTCATTACTTCATAGTGATGGAAAAATGTGAAAAAAATTTATAATAAGTTATAGATGAGTTTGAAAAAAGTTAATCATTTATTTCAAAAGAGTAATTCGTGAATTATGCTTGCCAAACGCTTTCTGCTATAAAATGTTTGCATGAATAAAATTATTTGCTTAGAGACTTATCTTTAAAGAATATTTTGATTGATAGCTTCAATTAAATAAAGCTATGCGATTTTGGTTTAGTAAAAAAGATTTAAGATGAAAAAAACTCTAAAGCATATTAACAATCTCAACCTAAGGGAGCTTTTTATTATTATCCCCCAGAGTTATTATTTCAAGTACATGAATAAGAGGATAATAAAAAGATAATTTAGGATTTCAATGGAGATATTTGGGCTTTTGGAATTTGCTTCTTTAAATTGAGTGGAGGAAATATTAATCTTCCAAAATTATATAATAAACAAGAGTTTTTAGAAAAAGATAAACAATAGCTTGATGAAAATTTGAATCAAATCCTTTTATAAATATTAAATTATGATATTAATTTGAGGCCTAAAAGCATATAAGAAATATTGTTGTAGTTTGAAAACATAAAAAAAGAAATGTGGACAGCTGAATAAGCATAAATTCTGTTTAAAAGGTATACAAAGGAAAAGATATCAAATAAACTATCAAATGCATTTGACCTCATAACTATTTGCTGCCAAATCTCTTAAAAAAATGATATTTTCTTGTTTTAGCAAGGGTACATTCAAAGTCAGCTAAAAATGTTTCATGCAGCTATAAAATCCTATTAAAACTGTCTAAAAGTGAATCCAAATTAACACATTTGTTACTATAATATAGGAAACGCATATCTTGAAATTGGTTTGTTCGATGAAGCTATCAAATCATATTAAGAATGGCTAAAATTCAATCCAAAAATTGATTTTTTTGGTAAATATTATCTTGGAATAGCATACTAAAACAACAAAATGTTTAACGAAGCTATAAAAATGTTCTTAGAATGTCTCTAATTGGACCCTTAACACTTTAATTGTAACTTAAATTTAGGTTCTGCTTATTATAAAATAGGATAGATGGATGAGGCTAAAAAATACTACTGTAAGTGTCAAAAATTAAATCAAAACGATGAAAACAGCAGCAGCAGCAGCTTCATTTGTTTATACAATTTAGGTAATATATATTACAGATAGCATATGTACTTGGAAGCAATATAAAAATATAATGAATGTGAAAATTTATATTCTATTTTGATAAAAAACTGTAATTTAGATGAAAAGTCATTCTATGATTAATGTCTATAAAGTAGTTACTATAATTTAGGTTCTGCATATTTAAAAGTTAAAAAACATTTAGAATCCATAAAAAATTATGAAAAATGTATTCAACTTAATAAAAACCATAAAAATGCAATGAAATAATTGTAAAAGTTAGCTCAATAGAATATAGCAAATTGATAAAAATATCAATTTATTAGTTTTTTATTACCAGTTTTTTGATTAAATAAAGGTCATACATAGTACAGTCGTTTGAAAAAAGTGAATATACTATAATATAATAATATAATAATAGAAAATATTGTAATATTTAGTATTATATTTGTAATGCATTAAATTTTTTTGAAATATATTTTTATTTATTTATAAATAACATTTTTGGCAAGTAATAGGAATCTAATTAGCATCAAAAGAAGTTAAATAATAGTATATGCCCTAATAATTTATGAATATTTGTATAAATAATAATATTTCTATTCTCTGATAATTATTTCTACAGTTGGAAATTAATAAATATTTAGTAGAATAATAAATTAATATATATTATGGCTAATTCAGGTATTGAAATTCCGCTGGCTGGATACTTAATGTCAGTGGAATTTCAATAGTTTAAAAATTTATAAAATATTTTATTATAAAAAAAATTAAGTATGCCTACCTACTTTCATATATATATTTCGTAAAAATGATTTTAAATTTTTTAAAACATGTATAATCATAAATTTATATATTTATTTTAATAATTCTTTTTACAAATATTAATTAAATTACTTAAGCGCTTCCAAGTGAAATTTTTGTATGGCATCATGCTATAATTAGAGATATTATAAATATTCCTAAAATTACAGAGATAAAACAAACATAAAAATCTACTTATAAACATTATTTTAATAATATTTAAGAACATTAACTACTAGGTTTTTTTCAAATATGACTAAATAAATAACTGGCCGTCTCTAATTCCTGCTATATTTATTTTTAAGTATATGTTTTAAATACAAATATTAAGTTTAAAAAGTGAATGTTAAATTAATTTTTCTGTGATATCTATCTATTCATAAAACCAAATTTATAAATTATTTGATAATTAATTAATTTTTTTTTATTTGTTCTTTTTATCCATTTATAATTAATTAATTAATCAAATTTCATAAGTTGCTATTCAATATCTTTGAAAAGAAAAATAAATGATATAATAGATTTAAAAATATAATAGATTAGAAGAAGTAATCATTAATTTTTTTATTAATATATTTTAAATTTATATAAATTAATAAAAAAAGTTTTTAAGCTCTTCACTTTTATCTCATTAGGTTCTCCGTATTGATCTGAGGTATATTTAATTAAAAAACATTATTTTTATTATTATTTATATATTTTGTATATTTAATTTTCAATTTTTTTAAATAAATAATTTTTATAAAAGAAATTATCATCATCATTATTTATTTTTTGATTTTTATTAAAAATAAAATTTTTTAGCTATTTTACCTTAATTTTTATTTCAATTTTTAATTATTTATTTATTATTCATTTTTTATTATTAGATATTTTTTCTTCATTTTTGCTATTAAAACTTACAATTAATAAAAGCTATTTATTTGTTTTACATTGTAATATTTTTAATTATAAAAGTTAATTTAAAACATTAAAGTTCTTTTAATTTATTTGATTTGATTTGTTTTCCTTTTTCTTTTTATTATGATTTCTTATTTTTTCATTCTTTGTTAATTTTTTTATTAAACTTATTATTTCATATTATTTCTTCATTTTTTCCTTCTAATTAACTATAGTGAAATACCTATTTAATTTCATTCTAAATAACATTATAAATAAAGCTAATTTTTAGAAAGCATAAAATATCATTTTTTTTGAAAAAAATAAATTTTGAAAACCTAGGATGGAAAAAGTTTCATAATTAACTAATCTTAATATTTCATATTTTTTAATAATTTTTTCCTTCTAATTAAATATTTAATGATATATCTTTTCTTCAATATTTAAAAAGTGGCAATCGAATTGGTTATGAAGGTGCATCAGGCTTAGTTTCTGGTTTAGCAAAATGCATTAATCTCTCAAATTTGACACTTAACCTTAAGTAAAAACAGTTTATTTGTTTTGGATTGTGATATTTTTAATTATAAAACTAATTAAAAACAATAAAGCTCTTTTTTCTTTTTCTTTTTGTTGTGCTTGCTTTTTTTTTGTTTTTTCTTTGTTAATTTAAAAATTCATCATTTTATTTTCAACTTTTGCTTTTATTTTTAATTAACTAATCTTATTATTTCATATTTTTCTTCATTGTTTCCTTCTAATTAAATATTTAATGATATATCTTTTCTTCAATATTTAAAAAGTGACAATCAAATAGGTGATGAAGGTGCATCAGGCTTAGGTTCTGGTTTAGCAAAATGCATTAATCTCTCAAATTTGACACTTTAACTTTAGTAAAAACAGTTTATTTGTTTTGGATTGTGATATTTTTAATTATATAAACTAATTAAAAACAATAAAGCTCTTTTTTCTTTTTCTTTTTATAGTGCTAGCTTTTTTTTTGTTTTTTCTTTGTTAATTTAAAAATTCATCATTTTATTTTCAACTTTTGCTTTTATTTTTAATTAAATAATCTTATTATTTCATATTTTTCTTCATTTTTTCCTTCTAATTAAATATTTAATGATATATCTTTTCTTCAATATTTAAAAAGTGGCAATCGAATTGGTTATGAAGGTGCATCAGGCTTAGTTTCTGGTTTAGCAAAATGCATTAATCTCTCAAATTTGACACTTAATCTTAAGTAAAAACAGTTTATTTGTTTTGGATTGTGATATTTTTAATTATAAAACTAATTAAAAACAATAAAGCTCTTTTTTCTTTTTCTTTTTGTTGTGCTTGCTTTTTTTTTGTTTTTTCTTTGTTAATTTAAAAATTCATCATTTTATTTTCAACTTTTGCTTTTATTTTTAATTAACTAATCTTATTATTTCATATTTTTCTTCATTTTTTCCTTCTAATTAAATATTTAATGATATATCTTTTCTTCAATATTTAAAAAGTGACAATCAAATAGGTGATGAAGGTGCATCAGGCTTAGGTTCTGGTTTAGCAAAATGCATTAATCTCTCAAATTTGACACTTTAACTTTAGTAAAAACAGTTTATTTGTTTTGGATTGTGATATTTTTAATTATATAAACTAATTAAAAACAATAAAGCTCTTTTTTCTTTTTCTTTTTATAGTGCTAGCTTTTTTTTTGTTTTTTCTTTGTTAATTTAAAAATTCATCATTTTATTTTCAACTTTTGCTTTTATTTTTAATTAACTAATCTTATTATTTCATATTTTTCTTCATTTTTTCCTTCTAATTAAATATTTAATGATATATCTTTTCTTCAATATTTAAAAAGTGGCAATCAAATTGGTTATGAAGGTGCATCAGGCTTAGGTTCTGGTTTAGCAAAATGCATTAATCTCTCAAATTTGACACTTTAACTTTAGTAAAAACAGTTTATTTGTTTTGAATTGTGATATTTTTAATTATATAAACTAATTAAAAACAATAAAGCTCTTTTTTCTTTTTCTTTTTATAGTGCTAGCTTTTTTTTTTTGTTTTTTCTTTGTTAATTTAAAAATTCATCATTTTATTTTCAACTTTTGCTTTTATTTTTAATTAACTAATCTTATTATTTCATATTTTTCTTCATTGTTTCCTTCTAATTAAATATTTAATGATATATCTTTTCTTCAATATTTAAAAAGTGGCAATCAAATTGGTGATGAAGGTGCATCAGGCTTAGGTTCTGGTTTAGCAAAATTTACTAATCTCTCAAATTTGACACTTAATCTTGAGTAAAAACAGTTTATTTGTTTTGGATTGTGATATTTTTAATTATATAAACTAATTAAAAACAATAAAGCTCTTTTTTCTTTTTCTTTTTATAGTGCTTGCTTTTTTTTTGTTTTTTCTTTGTTAATTTAAAAATTCTTCATTTTATTTTCAACTTTTGCTTTTATTTTTAATTAACTAATCTTATTATTTCATATTTTTTAATAATTTTTTCCTTCTAATTAAATATTTAATGATATATCTTTTCTTCAATATTTAAAAAGTGGCAATCAAATTGGTGATGAAGGTGCATCAGGCTTAGGTTCTGGTTTAGCAAAATTTACTAATCTCTCAAATTTGACACTTAATCTTGAGTAAAAACAGTTTATTTGTTTTGGATTGTGATATTTTAAATTATAAAACTAATTAAAAACAATAAAGCTCTTTTTCTTTTTATTGTG